TTAAGGCTGAGAAAGCCATCTAGGGCAGGGGTGTCAAACATAAGGCCCGGGGGCCGGTTCTGGCTCGTCCAGGCCTCTTATGCGGCCTGCAAACAACTGATTGAAGTAGGGTTGCTAAGTGTTACCTGTATCCGGAGCGGGGGACTCCCGGCTTGCTCCGGGAGCACGCGTGCCGCACGCACATCACCCGGAAGTGACGTGATGGCGCTGGGCACGCTGGGGGCGGGGCCACGACCATCCAAGGGGAAAACAAGCCTAGATTGAAGGGAGGGAGGGGGCAGAGCCACTCCATTATGGCTTTAGCACAGCAGAACAAGCATTGTTGGGGGCATCTAGCACCGCACTGCTGCCTCTCCAGTCCGCCTCTGTGGGTTTTCCTCTGAACCCCCCTCCCACCCCAGGGGGCCTTGCTGTAAGGACATACCAACTCACACCAACTTGGAGCTTACCAGCTGCTGTCCTTTATACAGTTTCTATCTCGAGTCCCTGGCATTAGTGTTTTACGGAACACATTGCCCGGCCCGACAAAGAGATAGTTATGTCAGATCCGGCCCTCATAACAAATGAGTTTGACACCCCTGATCTAGGGGTTGCAGCGGAAGCTTCTAGGGACGAGAAATCGAGGAGGAGGAGGTTTGGGCAAGGAAAGGGCTTTTCCCTCAAACATCTACACCTATTGACTGACAAAGCATCGGATCCAATAATAAAAGAATGAAACTGTTTTACTTTTGCTCCGGTAAGTTGTTTTATTTATTTTTTTAATGGAACTGGAATTCGGCAAGGAGGGAGAAAGAAAAACAGGGATTTCTTTTCCCTAAAGGAAAAGCAGTTGTGAGCTTCTCCCTTATATTTGGAAAAAAAAACATGCTTAATGCTTCGCCCGGCGCCAACCTGTCTTGTATTACTGCGTTTGCGAAGGGGTAAGAGGCAGCAGGGATTCAGGGGTGAGGGGAAAGCACTCTGTGCAGGCTTGTGGCCGGGATTTTGTGGCTTGTGGGGCAAATTTTTGCCTCATCTCTCCCCCCCCTGCCCCCCCGTCGGTCCCGCTTTGGTTTCACTCCGTGGGTGCCCCTTTTTTAAAAAGTTTTTAGAAGGAAATCTTGTGGGGGCAGAGCCCCTAATAACCCCACTGTAGTTACGGGCCTGACTCTGTGCTTGCTCAGAAGTACTTTTTCCTCCTGCAAACAGACATGGAATCGCAAACAAATTTGCCAGCTAAGCTTTGGCGAGGTGTTGCACAAAACTAAGCAAGAGTCAGATTTATTTGTTTACTTCAATTATATCCCTCCATTCTCCCCCACGGGGACCCAAAGCGGCAAACGTGATTCTCCTCTCTGCCATGTTATCCTCCCAACAACCCTCTGAGGTAGGTTAGGCTGAGAGAGTGTGACTGGCCCAGGGTAACCCAGCTGGCTTCCATGGCAGAGTGGGGATTCAAACCTGGGTCCCCCAGATCTGAGTTTGACACTCTAACCACTACACACCATGCTGGCTCTCCAGATCCTTGAGAGGTAAGTCATGTTAGTCCGTTGTGGCAAAACCAAAAAAGGAATTTTGTGCCGCCTTGAAGGCTAACCAATTTCTGGTAGCATAAACTTGAGTCTCAGTGAGAAATGGGGACTACTGGATGACGTAAATAAAATAAACACATAGAACTCACTTTGTCAGCGGCATAAAATGAGTCCTCAACCAGCAGACACAGCGACACACAAAGAAAACACTATGACACGCAAATGGTGCCGTTTGTGACACAGAGGAGCAAGGCTCAACAGTATCATCGACAACAGCTGTAGGTTATCGCGTTAAGCTCCAGCGAATATGATTAAGTCTATTGTTAACTCCTCATTCCACCAATTATGTATTCAGCGTCCCTTTATGCGACACTAAATCGGTTATTCTCTGAGGCACCACAAAACTCTGTGTAGAGGAAGGACGGAAATTGCAAAACGCGTTCAACATACTTTCTGCCTCCGAGCCGTGATCCTTTAATACGAAAGGATCTGGGGGGGTGGGGGAAGCCGTGTCTCATGAAACGCAAGTTCAATTTCCTGCAAACCGATCTTTTGCTGCTTAGGAGCTCAAGTGGGGAAGGGAGGCAAAATTGTGCTCTGCCTTGGGAGGTGGGGGCGGGAGGGGGTGCCTCGGGACTCACAGACACGTCGGACGTAGATTGAAATCTGTGCATAATAAGAAGTCCAGCAGCGGCCATGAGGTGCATTCCACCCAGCAGCTACCAATGCCTTCAAGCAGAGAATGAACACGGGTCAGTGTTGTGACTTCGGATTTTGCAGGAAGGCTATTTTTGGGCAGGAAGGCACAGGAACGGAGTTCTGGCTGGCTCCCGAGTTGGCCACGCCCAGCAGGAACTCATTAGCATAATAGGCCACACCCAACAGCAGAAATTCATTAGGATTGGCTACATTAGGGATGTGTGGCCTAACATGCAAAGGAGTTCCTGCTACAAAAAAAGCCCTGGGTTTTGACAACAAGGTAAACAGAATAACAAGCAAAAGGTGGGTGTGGCTGGATAACCACACTTCTGGTAACATGGGGGTGC